GTGGGGTGTTCCCAGTACGCAATAATACCTACCTAAAGTGGTGCAAGGAAGGACAACCGGCATCGGGGTCATGGTTGTCCAAGGCTCAACCATCCACATGAGGAGCGAAGGCTAGCCCATCTGGTCAAATCACACAGAAGAGCTACTGTAGTTGAATTTGCTGAAAAACTTAATGCTGGCCATGATAGAAAGGTGCCAGAGCGCACAGTGCATAGTAGTTTGCGGCATATTGGACTGCATATCTGCAGACTGGTCAGAAGGCCCATGATGTTTATTTTCTGTCCACCACTGAAAGCTCCTTCAGTGGGATGTCAGTATCAAAACTGGACCATGGAGCAATGATGAATTACATTTTCATTTAGATCAGGTGGATGGCAGGGTTTGAGTTTGTCATTTACCTGGGGGAGAGATGGCAGGAGGATGCACTATAGGAAGAAGGCAGGCCAGTGGAAGCAGTATTGTGCTCTGGGAAATGTTCTGCTGGGAAACCTTGGGTCCTGGCACTCATGTGGATGACCTACCTAGAGATTGTTGCAGACCATGTACACCCTTCATGGTAATGGTGTTTCCTGATGGCAAGGGCTTCTTTCAACAGGATAATGCACCCTGCCACACTGCACAAAATGTTCAGGAATGGTTTGAGGAAAATGCAAAGAGTTCAATCCAATTGAGCATGTGTGTGGTGTGCTGGAACAACAAATCCCATACATGGTGGATATTGCAACTTGCAGGACTTAAAAATATCTGCTGCTAATGTTTTGGTGCCAGATACCACAGGACACGTTCAGAGGTCTTGTGGAATTAATGACTTAATGCATCACAGCTGATTTGGCAGCACGAGGGGGAACTACATGATATCAGGCAGGTGGTTTTAATGTTGTGGCTTAGCTTATATATATATATAAGCTAAGTTGCTCAATTCTCCAATTTGTCTATTTTTGCTTAATTTGACTATTTTAAATTTCCCTGTTTCCCCTCTCAATTCACCATAAATCATAGTGCAATACATTTGTAATTGATACCCTGGAGTTTGATATTATTTACAGCAAGGGCAATTTCGGATGGTCACCTTTTTAGTGCATTTCTGAACAACACTTGAGGTAATATTTTTTTCGTAAATACATTTAGCCATTTAGTGAAAGATGCACTTTATCTTTTGCGTGCAGTTGTACTGATGAAACACGTACCATATTCCAGCGTTTATCTCTGCAAAAATATTCCACCCTTTACTAAATATGCTCCATTGTGTAATTGTTGTTGCGTCAAATGATTAATGAGTTTGAGTGCTTCAAAGGTAAAGGACGATAAGTGGATTGGCAAAACCCCATCAACAATAAACCATTTTATGTGACGCATCCTTCTGACAATCGGAGTAAGAAATGGAAAAATGGAAGCTGCCTGCTTCCCAGTCATCCATTGATACTGAGAATCCCAATAGTGTTTGCTTTAACCCCTTAAGGACACATGACATGTGTGACATGTCATGATTCCCTTTTATTCCAGAAGTTTGGTCCTTAAGGGGTTAAAGGGAAATTATCATTAGTAAAACGATGCTTTAGGTCAACAGGGCCACTTTTGTCTGGCCAAGTCATAGGCATTAGATTTTAATTTGAGAAGGTGGATTGGTGCACTTCAATACAACAGTTTTCAAAAGACAGCAAGAAACGTGAAACATGAACAGCAGGTTTTTCAGTATAAGATAGATGTTTCACTTGGACTGATTTAGTTGAGAGTAGCATTTTTACAATGGTTAGATGGTATGGTTTTATTCTTCTCTCCCGCTCCCCAGAGTCATTGCTCTAGTGCAAGCATGTCAAACTGGTGGGTCGCAGGTTGCATGCGGCCCATAATGGACATCTTTGCGACCCGGCGAGCCGCGAGTACATGTTTGGTGTTAAAGCAGAGTAGGCACCTGCTTTCTCCACATTGCAGGGGCCTACTCTGCTAAGATTTACCCAACCAGAGAGGAAGCAAGACGCTGGCAGCAGCGAAGGAGCTCAGTCTTCCGGCTCTTCACTGCTCCCTCGCCGTCTGTAGTGATGCCAGGAATATGACATCATATGCCGGCACCCCGCATCATTAAACTGTGCGCAAGGGAGTAGTGAGGAGCAGGAAGGAGATATCCAGATAGAAGATGGACCCCAGGGAATGATGTGTGTGTGCAAGATTGTGTAAATGTGTGTGTGTGTCTGTTAGTGTGTGTGTCAGTGAGTGAGTGTGTGTGTCTGTCAGTGAGTGTGTGTCTGTCTGTGTGTGTGTGTGTGTGTCTGTCAGTGAGTGAGTGTGTGTGTCTGTGTGTGTGTGTGTGTCTGTCAGTGAGTGTGTCTGTCTGTGTGTGTGTTTGTCAGTGAGTGTGTTTGTCTGTGTCTGTCAGTGAGGGTGGCTGTGTGTGTGTGTTTGTCAGTGTGTGTGTGTGTCTATCTATCAAGGTGTGTGTGTGTGTGTGTCAGTGAGTGTGTGTGTGTCAGTGAGTGTTTGTGTCTGTCTGTCTGTGTTTCTGTGTGTCTGTCAGTGTGTGTGTGTGTGTGTGTCTATCAGGGTGTGTGTGTGTCAGTAAGTGTGTGTGTGTCAGTGAGTGTGTGTAGTGAGTGTGTGTGTGTCAGTCCGTGTTGCAATGGCCACGGCTGGACAGTGGAGTACCTGGAGGTGCATGGAGGCACGCAATGCCACGAAACATTCCGAGCTAACGTCGATGTGCTCCACCTTCACAGTGTTTCAAGAAGTAGTGGGAGGATCTGCTTTGGCACAGGGTGCGGACGGCGCCATTTAGGGTATACCAGAGGCTGTACTCCGGAGTTGCATACTGGCAGCGGCAATGTGAGTGGAGTCTGTTTGATGACTTTTGCTGCCCTAAACTATGATGGGCTCATAGTTACTTACATACATTATTCTAAGAGATTTTGATATCTGTCAAAATGCAGTGTAGATGTCCATGTAAAGTCCACCCAGCCCCATTACATCTTGAAAGAACCTTCCAAACTTCTAAAGCACTTCACAGGGTTAATAGTGTCCCCTTTTCAAACCCTCCATTTGGGTGAGTTTTTTTCAAAATACACTAATGAATGGCATACAAGAGGACGAGGATATTTAATGCAATAAGGTACCCCGTGGGATAACAGTACTTTGTACTTTTATCCTTAAAGGAAAATTAACATTCAAAACATTACTTTTTATGTGACATTTAGTACAAACAGATGTACCATTATACACTTGAAAACGAGAGACATCTCAATGTATCTTTCCTGGTAAAATATTTTATAAATAAAAATTACCTGCAATCCCGGTACCAGAATTTCTAATAATATGATACTACCTGAGGCAGGTATTTCCCTATCATTACACAATGGGAGCAGCTCACAAAAGTATGAAAGTGTACACATCCTACATAAACCGGAGTCACCATTAACTCTTACAATCTATTTTAGTCATGGTATATGCCTTTCACTCTCTGCTCCTTCCCTTATACATCATGGAATTATACGTATGCTCAGAAGAAGAGACTTTACATGCAGGAACATGTTTGATTCTAAAAATATTTCTTGTGTCATTTATGGACGTATTTCCTCTTTAAGTAAGCAAACATACTTTTTATGATAGCAAAACCAGGCTTGCAGGTACAACCAAGTAACATTGTATCACAAAAACCACAGTAGGATTTAGGATGCCTCACTTGTGGCCTTTTTTGACTATGATAAATGTTATTTTTTTTTCTGAAGATCCTATTAGCTGTAAATCATTGTATTTAAGGCATGCAGGGGTTAACGTTGGAAACGTATTATCAAATTGGAAGAATTTCAGTACAGCATCTGCATAGCGTTTCCTTCTTGCTGAGCAGCGACCTCTTCTGGGTCCTTGAGGACAAACACTTTAAAGTTTAAGACATCCGATGCCTTTCATAGAATTCAAATGACTAGCTTCATTACTTAATGATGAAAAAAGGAAGCCTGCATCTATTTAGAGTTTATTATTATGTGAGTAGTATGTCAGAAACTCTTACATCAGTAATGTCGAGCCTTGACCTAAAGTCAGAGAATCATAGAAAACATAGTTCACAGACATCTGGTGTTCAAAAGGTAGCCATCACTGTCTAAACCCACTTTTTTCGCATTCTCTCAAATGATCTGTGAACCAAAGAGTGGTAAAATGTTCCTATCAGTCAGTGTATTAGATTGTGCCCTTTTTGTTCATCTGATTTGGCTCCCGAAGTTTTCAGTATCGAAATTCTGCAGAGCCAAACCAACATTCAGCGGAATTTTCTGTTTTTGAAAAAAAATGGTTTGGCCAAGTCTAAAAATATACACAGCTGCAAATGTGAAATAAGGTATCTAACTTCGATGCATGTGCTTTTGCTGGGCTTCCTCGTTCCTGGAAATAGTCACCCTCTAATTTTTTACCATTACCATTGTACTTGGAGTGCTCTACACATATGTACAGTACAGAAATGGGAGTCAAAGTGATTGCTACTTGTGATGCAGGTTTATTTGGGTACAGAAAGAGAATCTGATGGGAGTACTAGATAATTTCTTTCATAGGGAACCCGGGCATTCAAGGCTACGAATGGCAAGGAGTACACCATTAGGTAGCCGCCTATGCTGATGACCTCATTTTTTTTTTATCCGTAATCCCAGAACCACACTACCGTGTCTCCTCTCGGAATTTGACAAATTTGGTGAGATATCTGGCTTTAAGCTCAATCTTTCAAAATGCGAGGTATTGAACATCACGATCCCCATATAGGAATACACCACATTAGACTCACAGTTCGCATTCCACTGGTGCTATGGCAAGATGAAGTATCTCGGCATTTGGATGACTACCGAACCAGGAGACATATATCGACACAACTTTCTGCCTCTACTGAAGACAATGCTGGCGGATCTGGATAGATGGGCGTACCCGCATGTGACCTGGCACGGACGCATAGCAGTGCTTAAAATGAATGTATTTCCGAGAGTCTTATACCTCCTGCAGACCATACCTTTTGCCCCACCAGGGACCTTCTTCTCCTGTCTGAAAACAGCAGTCATTAGATTTGTGTGGCGAGGTGAACGCTCCAAAATACGGCATGATATCCTCTGTCGGCCCAGACACTATGGGGGTTTAGCGATGCCAGACATTAAGAAATATCACCAAGCTGTTGTACTACAACGCATTTTAGACTGGCATTCGGAATCCTCACGGAAACAATGGGTGACGTTGGACAGGGGATGCATTGGACCAACACTAGAGGCAAAGGTATGGGAGCGTACCAAAGGGACGCTAGACCACGGTACCAATGAAGGATTGGTCCTGCAGACGTTACGTAGCTGGAGGTCACTGAGAGAACAGCCCCACATCTCACCCATGCCCAGCCCAATGCTTCTGATTACATACAACGTGGCAATAGGAGGGGGGCTGCCTCCTAAGGCCTGATTCATCCCAGGCACTGGGGAATACATTCCTATACGTAACGCTATATGGGAGGGAGGAATACGAGACCTTGCCTCAGTGCTGGAAGGTAGACCACAGATCTCACTCTTCTTGAAAATTGAAACACTACTATAACGCTTTACCACACAAAGAACGCCTGCACAGAGAGCTTACGTGATTCGAGGATCTCTGCGAACGAGCTACTCCACTAGAACATGCAATTTCTGCACTCTATTAGTACCTAGTAATAGGCGATCTGAAGTATGCCAACACTTTCTGAAGGCAATGGGAAAAACAACTGGGTAAGACTTTCACAACTCCGCAGTGGGATAAAGCACTACTGTGGCAACATAAGAGCTCCATGAGCTCATACTACCAGGAGATGAACCACAAATTGATCTCATTCTGGTACAGAACACCGACCTTGTTACACTGCATCTTCCCAGCGGTCCCCCCTACATGCTGGAGATGCCATGCGGAGAGGGGCATGTTGTTGCACATATGGTGGGAATGCCAGGACATAGCCCATTATTGGGAGATGATTAACCCCTTAAGGACACAACATGTGTGATATGTCATGATTCCTGTTTATTGCAGAAGTTTGGTCCTTAAGGGGTTAAAGAGACGGTGATGCTCATCTTAGGGGACATACCAGGCTGATCAGCAGAACTTTCTTTGTTACATATCTCGCCACAACTAATCCCACTTTATAAGAAATCGGTATTACGTCATCTGTTAAATGCGGCCAAAGCCAATGTACCAGTATACTGGAAAAAAAGCGATGAGTAGAGGACAACTCACTGGAAGGTGGAGCCAGACACGCAGAGATGTGGCAACCCTGGTTCCTATACATGGCCCGATACATGCGGGGTGGGGGGGGGGCACCTGGCTCTGGGGATGGCGCAACGGTGGAGTCCGGGCCCCATATAACACAGATCATATCTCGCTATACTTCTCTGCACTGCTCTTCTCTCCTTTTATTCCTAAACCCGTTACCAGCCCTCGGACCTGGAGGAGCGGGGCGAATGATAGGGGGGCTGACACGCAATCCAGGTGGCACATTAAACCTCGATTAGACAGGAAATACTCGACATAGCGACACGCCTGGGGCGGCAGCCAACCTTCCTAAATTAAGATCCACACACTGCATCAAACTGCAGAACACGGAAGAAAGGTCAGTTGACCGACACACACACCAAGCTTGAACATATACTTATCATATGCTCAGACCACACACTCCCCAAAAGTTAACACTATCTACATACCCAATAGTCCACTTGGAATTCACACCCATAGTTGGCATCTCAAGAAAAAGCAACACAGGGGACAATGGTAAGGGGACTCTATGCAACATAGGCTCCGCCACCTTGGCATGCGATGCCACCTGCAACTAGGCAGATGCAAATGATGGTTGTTGGGGCCCCTTGCTGTAGTGGGGGAGGGGACACCCGGAAGCTAGCACCAATCTCAACATATCATGGACGGATCTGCCTTCCACACGATAGACAAGCGATAACCAGAATATTGCAAACCTTACTACATTGTTAACATGGTATTACAGACCTGCGAGTCTCACCTTGTACCTCTCTATGATTCCTTCCTTGCTAAGAAAATCTTAATAAAAACAGATTTACAAAAAAAAAAAACATTATCTACATTAGTTTCATCCATGTCTTTCCATGAATTAAACTGCTGTACGGTGCCGAAATACGTATTTTATAAACCCCTTTGGGCCAGGATTGAGGTTCAACAAGCTGTAAACTTGAAAGTCATAGAAAAATTAATAATAATACATGGACTTGGAGATTCGGTTCAGTTCAAATTGTAATAGACATTACATTTCAGCCGATTTAATGCCTATAACAATTTTCAAAATTCTAAGTGGAATTCCGCTAAATATACTAAATAGCAAGATGGCGGTACCTATTCGCTTTATTCTGAGTTAGCTTTGCAGTGGCTACAGCTAGTAGCCACTGTCATTTAGCACAAAGTTTGAATCATTAATTTATAGTTTGAAAGTTTTTTTTGTTTGGGAAAGGGACACTATAGACACATTTTTCCTTTATTGCAGGACTTACCTAATAATGTTTGGTTCATGTGAATTCAAATTAGCATACAAGTGAATAGTGCAAAACCAGTGATTATTAACCACAATACATAATTCAATATGAAATTAAATAGATAATTAATTTTTTTTAAATAACATCAACATATATGCACAGAAATGACATTCCTGACTAATCCATGGCAGCACAATATGGTTAGCTCCTCCCACTTGTCTGTTTACAACAGGATATAAAAGCTATAAATACTGCGCTACTAAATAGGATCTCCAGTCTTTTTTTTCCTGTCCTACTGATTGTGGGTGAGTGTTGGATTCATGGGTACTGTGGAATTGCTCCTTTTACGGTACTTTGGCATTCGAAAAGCTGGTAACTTAACAGTGGCAGTTATGGTTCTGGACAGGGCCAGTGCAAGGATTTCTGCCGTCCCAGGCAAAGATCCATTTTGTCGCCCCCTCATGTCACTCACTCACTGACAGACACATACTGGCACACACACAGACTCACTGACAGACACACTCACTGACAGACACACAGACTCACTGACAGACACACTCACTGACAGACATACACTCACTCACTGACACACACACAGAAACTCACTGACAGAAATACACTCACTCACTGACAGACACACACACACATACACTTACTGACAGACATACACTCACTCACTGACATACATACACTCACTCACTGACAGACACACAAACACACACTCACTAACATAGATACATACACTCACTCACTGACAGACACACACACAGACACTCACTGACAGACCCCATGTAAAAGGGCTCCTCTCGGCGCCCCCACCTTAGGGCGCCTTGGGGAACTAGAGCTACCCGTCCAGTGCTGCGGTCCCAAGCAGGGGCAGGCAGCCCACCAGGAAACATCCTGGTGGGCGCCCCCCAGCAGGCCAGCACCCTAGGTGAATGCATAGTTTGCTTAATGGTTGCGCCGGCCCTGGTTCTGGAGCATATAGCAGGATTTTCCTCAATGCTTTGCCAGCACAATGGTTGTAAGAGCATTATGGGAGATGTAGTACAAAACATTTGGAATGCCAGACGTTACCTATACATAGGTCTAGGGTCCTGGTGTTTACACAACCCTGGTCGAGCCATTTTCTAAGGACACTGGATAAGTATAACAGATATTTTGTTCTCTATACACCTATCTCACGATTTATATACTGTATGAGAAGAACCTTATTGTCCTTTACGAAAGTTTCCATAAATTCTACAGTACAGAGGTATTTACTTTACAAATATTTGTGGTTGCTTGTTCTATGTCCCTATTTGTGATGCTGTCATGGATTAGCCAGGAATAAGGAAAATGTAGCCTTTTTTTCCTGGCTATATCCATGGCAATATGGCACCCCTCCCTTGTTTATATTTTAGGACCTTGGAACATAGACTGGAGATCTTATCTAGTAGGATACGTTTTATTTCCTGTCCTCAACAGCCAAGTGGGAGGATCTAACCCTATTGTGCGGCTGCCATGGATTAACCAGGAAATGAAAATTACAGTAAGTATGGCTACATTTTCCATATTACATGCAGTTGTATTGGGAGAAAAATGCAAAAATACTTCTCACAATTGCAAGCAATTTCAGAAATGCCAAAAAAGTGTGCGTTTTTGGAATCACTTTTTTTTTTTTTTGGTTCAAAGTGAAATTTTTCAAACCAGACCAACATTTTTCATCAAGCCAAAATTTTGCTGACCCAAATTTTTCAAAGCTGAAAATGACTGGAAATTCAAACTATTTCTATTCAGTGTTGGACATTTTTTTGCTGAGAACAAGTCTAAAAAAATTATAATGCATTTATTATATATTCCATTTGTAATTATTTTTTTAACCCCTTAAGGACACATAACATGTGTGACATGTCATGATTCCCTTTTATTCCAGAAGTTTTGTCCTTAAGGGGTTAATAATGCATTAAAAAATGGGTTTCAACCTCATTGCGAAATGTCTCATTGGCATTGGACTAGGCTTAAACAGAGCCGTGACCAGCTCCAATTATAACAGACAGGTCGTAAGCTAACGCAATATACAAACTAGTCAAATAAGACAATGACATGCCAGCAGGAACTGCCACTAAATTTAGCATCACCCACTTGAATCCCTTTCCTTTCTTTCCCCGATTTAAGCCAGTTGTCCACAACTTTCTTTCCTCGAATTAAGCCAGTTGCCCAAAGCTGAGACCAAGTTCAGGCAAGACACACTTTTCCCACTTTTTCTGTTGCTGAAATTATCATATATTTTCCCTTTAATGTATCCACTCAGTCTTCACATCCACGTGTTACTCATTTTCTACATTTCAAATCTATTCTCATATATACATATGTGACCTATAGGCCTACCATCATTTTTAATAATTTTGATAGATGGATGGAATTACACTTTAACATATCACAAAGTCTTTCTTCATGTGTGTTAGTGTTCCCCAACCCTTTGAACATGAAATTCCAGTTGTTCAACATTTTAGGGAAGAACAACTACTGATACTGGCCGGGTGTTTGAAATGTACAAAAGCAAATTTATAGTTTCATTTTTATTTTCTTTAAAAATTGTATTTTAGGCTTCTTAAATTAGTAGGTTCAGGAAAATTAATATAGGGCAAGAGAGATTAATAAAAAATACATGAAGCTATTTTCATACAATTTCCTCATTTATTTATATTATTTTGCAGTTGTCACATGTCGCCAGTCTAGATGAGAATTCACACATTTCGGTGAATTGGCTTTGCAGAA